AATATGTTTTATCAAGAAGCACGACTTAAATTTATAGAACTGTGTGAACAAATAACAGAACGAAATCTAATTATTGAGGATGAATTAAATAATATTATTTCATCTATTACTTTTGCTAAATTAAAAATTTTGCATCCTTCAATTATATTACCACAAGATTTAATTATTCAATTAAGAAGTATGTTAGGAAGATTAAGTAATTCCAAATTACTATTTTTACCTGATTATATAGAATTGCCATATTTTTATGATTTAATAGAATTAAGTGCATATCAAACACTTGAAGAAATTGTTTTCATTTTAAATATACCTTTAATTACTTTTGATAAATTTAATATTTATCATTTATACTCAATTCCAGTAAAAAGTGATAATTCAAATTTTTGCAACATTTTAATACCTAATTCAAAATATATTGCCTTGTCTGTTGATGATAGATTTTACTTTTTATTTGATAACTTTGCCGATTGTAAAGAAATAACAAATAAAGGATTTATTTGTAAAAATAAAGTCACAACTCCCTCGAGAAATGGTCCATGTGAAGTTAAAATAATCACAAATCCAAAAGGCATGATGCCAGAAAATTGTAATAGAACAATAATTTATTCAAATGACTATAAAGTACAACCAATTACTGAAAATACATGGTTAATCGCAGTTACATTACCAATTTCCATAACGGTTTCTCATAATGAACGAAACATTGGAAGCCGAACTTTAGTTAAAAGTACTATTTTAAAACTACCCCCTAGAAGCACAGCATATATAGGAGAAACAATGGTTTTCTCTACAACTTCCAAAAATATAACCTTCCACGAAATAATCGATGTTCCTGATTTAAAATGGTCCGAAGATAATGAAATAAACATAAATATTCCAAATTTAAAACCTTTAAAAATTGCCAAACTTAATTTGGATGAATTAAACGTCGCTGACGAAAATCTACAAAAACTCAAAGAAGAAATTGATAAATTAATGAAAGAAAGTTTTATGGAACGACATATTTCCTGGATAACTTATGTTTCTATTATTTTTGTTATCTCCATTATACTTTATTTATGTCTACGAAAACTTAAGAAGAAGAGATCCCGTCAAGTAGGAATAGTTATTGGTTCTTCTTCATACCCCGACAATCCTGATAATCCTGGTGATAACATTATTACCCGATTAAGAAGAAACATCACCCCCAGTAGAAGAAATTCAATTCGAAGACCACCCCGCATCGCCGAAGACATCGAATTGGAAACATCTTTCAACTCTCCAAAATTGGTGTCAACATAGTTCAACCCCAATTTTGAATTTTAAGAAGGGAGGAGTGTTAGGTGCCCTATAAACAATAACCCCTTTGTGAAGTGTTGTGCTTAGACATTAGAAATTAGATACTTTATTATTGTTTATTGTTTTTATAATCTTAGTTATTTTGTTTTTGTTATTTAAAACAGTATAATATCCCTTTGTCCAGAGGCCACCAAGACCTTGAATCCCTGGTGCCTGCTGACATAAGGAATTTACCCTACTTTTAGCATAGATTATATATAGGAGTGAACTTGACTTTAAACATTCATTATAATATTCGTCCTAGTATTATATTCATTAATTATTTATTATTCATTCAAAATGTAACATTCATCTAATAATTATTGTTCAACAATCTTTTAAGTATATTATAAATAAGTTTAAATTCAATATATAGTAGTGAAGCAATAAGTGCATTTTAATCATCTTTAATATTAATTGGAATAATATTCCAATTCAACACTTGTTATATTGTGATCAATGGTATTTAGCCCAGAATAAACAAACCCTTTTTAAAAAGGCTATTTCTACATCAGAGATATAACATGTATGAAGATAATGTTTTAAATATAGGTAAACAAAAAATTTATATTTTTTATAGATTATATTTACAAATGTATCAAATGTAATTTCTTATTCTACAATGCATTAATAACTATTTGTTTTTATAATTCTCCGTATTTCATATTTCGAATTTTAATCGCACAGGCTTGATCAATGATCGTGATTCTGTAACAGCTTTTATTTGAAGAGCGCGATCATCAAAAAATATTAATATTTCATGGAATATTCAACGGTCCATTTTGAAATTCGTATACAATGTTCTACATACTTCGATAAAAACTTTTAAAAACTAAAAAAACGTGCCGAATTTTGAAAAAAAACAATTTGTTTTAAAATTAGCATAAAATATTTAAAACACGACGTAACTTTAACATTAGGAGTTTCTTATTCTATTTACAAACGGGTTTATAAAAATTTATTGTTCTGGTCCTAAAATTCTAATTTTTTTATATATTTTTAAAATGAAAAAATACGTGTAATTTTCTTATACCGTAAACGAATATTATTATTACGAGTTTTCACCTTGTAACTAGCAGAAGTTAGCAGTAATAACTACTAACAAGAACAATACCGAATTACTAACCAGCAAGTGTAAGTGTAATTACTCAGAACAGCATGGCACTAAAAATGGGTGTCATATTTTTTAAAAAGTGTTGGGTTGGGTTGTAAGTTTTTGTTTTGGTTTTAGTTTTAGCTACATTATATTATTATTATTATTATTTACCCTTTCTCATTATTATTTACATTATTTACCCTTTTATGATGTCAGTCGGGAACCAACTTAACTTAACTGCCGCCTCGTAGACACAGCATATCTTTAATAGGCTGAATTAGAGGTGTGTAGTTCTAGTTCAAAAGATCGAATTTCGTAACTGAACTAAAAGATTCAATCACCAAAACTAAAATGAGCGAATCAATTCGAACTAAACTAAAAATCCGTAAATATATTTCATTATATCCGTATTTACTAATGGATTTTTTTTCACCCAAATTCGTAATTGTCCCTAAAATAGGCAACCAAATCAACCACTTAATGGTCTTGGCAACAGCGTACCATTTTGACCAGCAGCAAGTGCAATTCCAAGAACACTTCTTTGGTGCAAATCAATCAATCAATCTCAATATAGTTCACTTGAACTACTAGAGAAGTGTAGTTCGCGAACGAAACTACGTAAATCCGACAAATCCGATTATAAATCAGTGAACTAAACGAACTAGTCTTTTGTACTATTCACTTTAATGAACGAGATCGAAAGATCAGGAAAGTGAACTAAACTTCCCACCTCTAGGCTGAATTGATATGAATTTAAATATACATAACCAGTGTTGCCGATTTGCAAGTAATTACTTTCATTTGTAAGTATTTTGACTACTTGTAAGCACTATTGTAAGGATTAGTTGTTTGTAAGGATTTTGCAAGGATTTTAGTTTTTTTACTTAAAGTAAAAAAACCAAATTCAAGCCGTAAAATGAAATAATTCGTTAAAAATGTTATAAATTATTTCATTTTACGCTGTCCGATTTCGACTTGTCTATTAACAGACAAGCCCTACTGTAGACGCTCCCTTAAATTAATCAAGGCAAATAAAATCTGGCAACCCTGCGACTGGCATAAGCAAACCATAGAGCAAACCATAACCCTAGAATTTAATTTAATGTTTAATTTAAATCATTTAGTCTAAATTAAGTCTAAATGATTGGGTTGATCTACAGGTTTGAAATTCCCGGGTAGTAAGATGATCTTTAATTTTTTCTCTTCCAGCAAGGCAAGAGGCGCAAAGTACTCGTAGCATAATTTGTTCTTTCTAATAATATTGCCGTCCTAAGCGTAAAGGTCATATCTGCAATATTTTGTAGTAATTAAAGGAGAGAAGGAAATTTTAAAAAACAATAAAAAATGGCTTTTGTGCTTAACTACCAAATATATCAGATATAACGTTTTGTCCTAGAACGATAGTTTTTGGTAGTTAAGAAAAAACGTTATTCTTTATTGTTTTTTAAAATTAAAATTTTCTTCTGTCCTTTACTTCAAAATATTGCAGACACGACCTTTAAGCCTGATTTACATATTGCCTTCCTCCCGTAAAATATTAACAATACGAAAACCATGGTGATAAGGTTATATTATAAACATCACTGTTTATTGTTTGGTATTGTTGTTAATTGTTGCTCGAAGGACCATAAAACGATGCTTGTGTTTGTTTGATGTTGTTGTATTGTTGATTAAAACCACAATAGTGTATGGGTTTTAAGTAGATATTTATTTACACATAACTTAAACTAAAACTATTTAAACAAGTGAAATAAAAACTAGATCATTGGCGATCAACTAAAACTATTTAAACAAGTGAAATAAAAACTAGATCATTGGCGATCAATTTGGGTAGTCGATACTGCCCATGTGTTTCAATGCTGCTTAATTGAGTGAATGTCACGATTGTCGTCCTACAGTTCGGGTGGTTTTAACCCCCCTCGCTACTAGACATATGATTGGCTTGCCTCTACAGTGGGAGTGGCAATATAAGCCTGCTTAAATTATACTTAAAACTATACATTTACGTTATAATGAATTAAAAATTGAAACTTTGCTTTAACAATCACCATGGTTTTCGTATTGTTAATCTTTTACGGGAGGATATTAACAATACGAAAACCATGGTGATAAGGTTATATTATAAACATCACCATGGTTTTTGTATTGTTAATCTTTTACGGGAGGAAGGAAGGCAATATATAAAGCAGGCTTTACGCTTAGGACGGCAGAATAAACCGAGTACATGTGCAAGGATTTTGTAAGGATTTTAATTTTTGGCAAGTAAAATGTAAGGATTTTGACGCACAAAAGTAATCAAATTTCTAAATTTGGATTGGCAACACTGTACATAACCTAATTTAAATTTTACTTACCTTAAAAGTCCACTAAAACTCATGCAAATACATGTTATGCATAGACTAGCAATGGCTCCAGTTAAGTAATTTTTAATTAACATTAGTAAAGCGATTGTTTGTTGTTCGGTAAAAATATAGCATGCCCATAGTGCTAATGTAAAATATAAAAAGTTTAAACCATCATTATACGAACCCACTAACCTAAAATATTTGTTCGTATTATTATTAAATTATTTTAAAAAATAAACAACTTACGGGTACAAAATTGTACTTGCAATTATAAATGATATAAATGAAATTGAAAGAGATATAACATTATAGGTTATTAAAAACAAAGTGGATCCATATAACCCGTCTTGTGCGTCTTGATAATATTTTGTTCGATATATTGGATCTACAAATAAATAAATATAATATTTGTAGATGTTTGTTTTATCAAAATTACATAATATTGCACAATTTATTATTCCTAGAAAGTAAGTTCCCATTAAACTATTAATTATAAGTCCATTTCTTGTTATTAAATGAGATGTGTCTTTTACATTTCTATAAAATATCCATAATAAAAGAAAATAAAGTGGAACGAGAAATATTCTTAAAAACATTTGGCGTATACCAGATTTTTTAAAATTTACTATACTTGCCAGGACTCTCCTAAAAATGTTTAAAATTAGTATAAAAATAAAAAATCTGTGTTTCCCCAAAAGTTTATCTATTTTTTAAAGAAACGGGGAAATTTCCGCTTTGGGTGGGGTGATAACAAATCTTATTTTACAGCCAAAAATCCTTACATGCATATTGTCCATCCTGTTTGAAGATAATCTGATTGTTTACCTAATAATACAGGAAATTTGATATTATAATCTGCTACTTGTCTTTCATTAAGTGTGCTATTTAAAGAACCACGTTCTTTTTTGTATTGTTCCACCAATATTGCAATTTGACGATTACTTTCAATAAATCGTTCTCTAGACCTTCTATCCACAGTTGATAAACATACTATAATAAAAGAATAATTAAATAAAAATAAAAGTAAAACATCTCGGTCAACGCAATGTTATGTTATTGTTACATTGCTTATTAGTTAACTTGGAACATTAACAACTAATAACTCTTACGTTTCTTTTTAAAATTGTTGCTACATCGCAATGTGACTCCTGGGTTACATAAGAGCAATAATGTGTTATTTTAAATGTTGACCAAATAATATTTATTAAAACTATTTTTTTTGTAAATGGTTTTTTAGGAATTATACTCTTGGTTCACACGATAGACCTAATTCCTAATTCCATTAAACTTATTCCCTCAACCCAAGTGTGTCCTAACACAAAAAAAGAAAGAAAGGTAAATGCATTTCCTGACAAATTACAGTCCACGAATCAGCCACAAATTACTTTATTGTAAACAATAATGTAATTAATGTAGGTAAAGTCAAAGAAAAGAAAGGAAAAAGTTTACATTTTAAAAATACTTACGATAATACATAAGGGGATTTTCCAATTTAGGACATGGAAAACTAATATCATTAAAATATTGTAACATTTCTCTAGTCCCTCCAGTATAAACAACATCTCCAAGACTTAAATACAGTACTCTCTCTAAAAACGGAAATACATCTGAACGTGGTTTTTCCATTGTAAGTATTATAGCGGTACCGTATTTTTTTGCAATATTGGATAAAATTGAAACCACCAAGTAAGTATTAAGTGGGTTAAGATTCCAAGTTGGTTCATTAAGAAGGAGTAAAACTAAAAACATTAAAAAAATTAATGCAAGTGGCTTCTGAATTATAATTGAAAGCTTTTGTGTATACATTTATTAAAACAATAATATTATATGGTTAAATTCCAGAATAAAAAATTAATAAGTATCCCAAGAAGTTAGAAATACAATTGTCTGAATGTATTTTTTAGGTAATTGTATTGTTAAACCCTTTTATATAACACACAGTGGCGGCTGCTGAATTTTGGGTACACTAATATCTCCATTATTAGACATAGGACCCACACCAAATTTTATGAGTTTATAATGACATTTGTTTTGTGTTTCATGTTATAGTTTTCATTATGATAGAATTAAGTATTGTTGAGCAATTTAACAATTGTATTGTTTTCTTTTGATAAAAAAAAATTGGGATCGCGAGTTGTTAGGCAAAAATAGAGACAAGGCAAAAACTTTTGTCGAAAAGAAAAAAAGATATATTGGAAGAATTAAATAGTTGTAAAAAGGCTTAAATTAATTTGGTAAGTCTGACAATCCCACGTTTTTATTTACAATAAATAAAAGAGACAAGTAATATATTTCGTCCAAGTACCTATTCAAAGGAATCAGCAGACAAAATTATTTTATTTTCACCTTCTTGGTAAATGACATTTTCTAGGTTAATTTTGTTGTTTTTGTATCTAAGTAAACGATACATTATGGGAACAGACCTGTAATATTTTACGGGCTCGTATAAAAGACCTGTACAGGTTTACAGGCTTATAGAAAAGCAATTTATGAAATGAAATGTCACATTTTACATATTAGTTAAATTTGAAAATCGTTATCTAAAGGTGAAAATAAAAGTTTGTACGTGTCACGCTTTGCAATTAATCTTTACGGGCGAGCTGGAAGCTCGCCCGTTATTATTAATTTACAAAGCTTGACACGTAAATAACGTAAATAACTATTTCCACCTTCTTAATAAATGACATTTTATAGGTTTATTTTGTTGTTTTTGTATCAAAGTAAACGATACATTATGGGAACAGACTTGTAATATTTTACGGGCTTCTATAAAAGACCTGTAAAGTTTTACAGCCCACTAAGCACAAGCTAGCCGGCCCGCATAAGGCCCGAATAAGTTTTGCCGAATCCGCCGCGTGCGGCCCGACACACGTATTTCTTCTGGCGTGTAGAACGGGCATGTCCGCCTGGCCAACTGTAGGGCATATCCGCCTGGCCGAATGTCGGCTACGTTTACTCGGCCGGGTGTCGGCCTTATATTATATAGTTATATATATATATATATATATATATATATATATATATATATATATATATGCATCCAGCTTATGACAGAGCGTCCGTACATTGTCTAATATCTATTCTCTGGGCGTCCACTGGGACCAAGCGTCCGTATACCGGACGCCCGGTTGTACACCCTGTAAGATTTTGCCAGGTGTTCTAATTCACCTTTATACGACCTTTGGCAGAAGACGCCCAGAACTCGAAAAATAAATTTTTGATATACTTTCGTATATTTTTAGTTCACGACTTTTCCACGAGGGGAGTGACTGTCGCCAATGTAAAATATACGTTGTGTATATTTAATTTTTTTAAATTACATCTTAGAGATTGGTAAGCGTCCTTAGTATAAAATCTCTTACATTACTCCGATTTCAGAGCGTCCTTTAGCCAAGGAAATTTTGCAACATGGCAATTATAATACGATTCTGTTGTATTTTAAGTAAAATTTTCAAATTCGTGTTTTTAATGAATATTTAATTCAATAAAATTTTACGCCAACGATTTGTGGGCGTCCTTTCTGTATATTCATTTCAACTTTTCCGTTTTCTGAGCGTCCAGTATCGGACTTTGGGTTATTAAAAATAAATACATATATATTATTATAATAATAGTAGTAGTTTACTATAGTAGTATACAGAGCTGCAACAAGTCAGTTTTAAAAAGACTTAAATCTTAAGTCTTAAGTCAATTCTAAAATCAAAATGATTTAAATCTTAAGTCAATTCTAAGATAAAGTTCAAATGATTTAAGTATTAAGTCTTTGTATTAAATCATTTTCTTTCAAGTCAAGTCATTTTTGCAAATTTTTAAATCAATATAAAGTGGTTTAAGTCATCTTATGACTTAATTCCTTTAGTAAGTCGTTTTTATGACTTAAGTCTATATTTTTTATTTAAATCGTGATCTAAGGGTTAAGTCAATAAAATGACTTGAATCAAAAATTGTGATTTAATTCAAAATAATTACCCTTAAGTCAATACAACGATTTTTTAAATGTTAATAATAATTTATGGTATTAATGATACTGATATTATTAATCTATTGTAGATACAGATGATAATAAACCACTATGTTAAGAATTTAAAACGATTTATTTTCAGAACACTTACAAACAAAATAAAAACTTAAAACACATTTTTTGAGTATATATTAGACAATCAAAAAAGAAACTTAAACCACCTTTTTTAGTAGAGTACATACAGGGAGGCTACTTTTTTATATACATAAATGGTAATAGATTCAAACTCTGTTAAAATAGATAAAAGTTACAAATTAGACCTAACTACGCACGCATAACACGACGAATGTTGGCAAACAAAATAACAAAATTATAAATCCGCATTTTTTTTTCATTTATTTTAGACAGGACATTAATAATGTAGCCGTCAAACGGTTCCGAAAAGCTAACTTTACCGCGGCGGTTTTTTTATTCACTAGGTAGGAAATTAAAGGAGTTTTTGATCTGCTGCCGCGTGAACCCCTGGCAGTTCAAAAGAAAATTTATAAAAAAAATATAAAAAATCTGACTTAAATATTTTCTAAAAAGACTTAAATCTTTTTCAAAAAGACTTAAATATTTTTAAATTACTTAAATAATTTACCGACTTTTATAAAGACTTAAATCTTTTTTGACTTAAATCGTTTCTATATGACTTAAATCGTATGTACTGATTTAAGCCTTTTATTAATGACTTAAGTTTTTTCTATTTTGAAAAAAATATTTAAGTCACAAATCATTTTGAAAATTACTTAAATTTTAAGTCTTAAGTCAGTTTTAGAGAAATGACTTATTACCAAATGACTTAAGTCATTAAAACGATTTAACTCAAAAAAACGATTTAAGTTTTTTGAGAGCTTGCAGCTCTGGTAGTATACTACTTAATATTTATAAATATTTTACGGATTTAATTGCATACAAGTCACGTTTGACTTTTAACTATTATATAAGGACCCTATTATATAAAAAATGGAGTTAAGTACAGGAATACATAGTAAAAGGTACATTTTACTTGGTAGCCAAGGAATATAACTAATATTATAATATAACTAATAAATTCTAATTTTGTAAAGCTTAAAAGTAGTATATTATGTATCAAATTTTATAAACGTCATTTTAGATTCACGAGCAAAGCTTGAGAGCGAGTGTTTAATAAAAACGAGTGTCTAGAGAAGTTTATAAAACGAGTTGCATACTACACTTTATCTACGACGTACACAAAGAAGAATTTGAAGTCAATTTTATTTGATAAAAATTTACATTTGTCAAATTTTAATGTTTTTAACCTTACTTTTCCCTTATTTATAATAAAGCTAACTTCAGCCCGTGACTAAAATACCCAAAAGCCAATATTTGCTCGTCAACGTAGTAGTTAATAACCAAACTTATGAAACAATTTTGACCCAAATTACAAAAAAGGTCTTAACTTTAAACATGACTATCTCAAAACTAAACAAAATGTACTTTTGTACCATTTGGCTTTTAGGGGCATTAAATTTTATTCCCAGTGGGTAATTTATTTTTTGGATATCCCAAAACAGTACTAATACTGCAAATTTTGATAAAATATTACATTACTCTTACTTTAGTTCAGAATTATTATTTGGTAAAGTAGCACAGGTAACTATTTAAAAATAACTTACATATATACTTAAGTATATATGTAAGTTATTTTTAAATATTTAATATTTATAACCCACGTAAAATAATTTTATCTACTCCTACATTGACGAGCTGTAACTTTATGGCGTTTTATTGACGGGCTGAAGTTAACAACAGTGGCTTTTCGACATTTTACGTCACGGGCTAAAGTTAGCTTTATTACAAATTGGGAAAAAGTGAGCTTAAATTCGGGTGACAGTTGACAGATGTCAAAATTTTAACAAAAAAATTGGCTTTAAATTCTGTTTTGTGTTCGTCGTAGATAAAGTATAGTATGCAACTCGTTTATAAACTTCTCTAGACACTCGTTTTTATTAAAAACTCGCTCGCAAGCTTCGCTCGTGCTTAATTAAACTCGTAACTAAAATGGCGTTTATAAAACTTGATACATAATATACTATTATAGCCAGAAGACCCTCGGAGATAATATTTTCAAAGAAAATTTTTCCTATTAGGTAGTTTAAAAAATAAAAACCACATTCATTTAATCAAACATTGTAACGTGATGTGTAACATTGTTACATAACAATGTAACGTTGTCGTTACATAAATGCATTATAATTTTTATGTTGTTATGTAACTTTTTAATGGATTACAATGTTACATTGCTGTTATAAAATTGAACCATAACGTTCGATACTGTAACGTTACAGTACGTACGTAACTTTACCGTTAACGTTAACCCAATAATTGATGGTATAAAAACATCTTATACAGAATCCTGTATAAAATGATTTTATACCATGCTGATATCAATTATTGGGTGTTAACAGATTTTTACATTTTGGGACAGGATGTATAATAATACTGTATCTACTTATATTGCATAATATTGTTTTTTTTTGTGAATAATGATATACATTATAAATTTCCTGCCTAACAACGGAAATAATGAACAGTCATGTGTAACGTTACAGTTACATAACCTGATGGTTGCAAATAGGTTCCTATTTCCCACTTATTAAAGTAACATTGTTACATAACAATGTTACGTTGTCGTTACATAAATGCATTATAATTTTAATGTTGTTGTTATGTAACTTTTTAATGGATTACAATGTATATTGCCGTTATAAAAGAAAAAAAC